AGTGCATGTCCTCCTCCCATCACCTCCACTGCACCCAGGCTGCAGTTTGGTGAAAACAGGGTAAAATATCTATTAAGGATTCAGGCAAACTTTGCAGAAATTGGTTCATTTCAAAGCACAAAATAATGTGGTTTATAGTGGCAAATGGCGAGTAAACAGAAAAACACAGTCTAACAATTCACAGCCCTGCTTTAAGCTGCCTACTGGTTCTTTGAAAACCTGTGATCCTGGTGGTGGATTTTTTCTATTGCCCGGGTCATGCCCTTCTTCTCTTTCTGGCACAACTATACTCTAGCACCTGCACCAAAGAAAAGAATCCTTCCACTCAGTGAACTATATTTCTTTGCGTTCTTCCCACCACGCATCACAGAAATTGATTTAAGGAATTGGATATTCCTTAAAAGAATTGTATGATATGGAACCCAGTGTTCAACTTCAACCCAGAGATGGATCCTCAAAGAGACCTCATTGGGTGTGCTCTTGAGATAATCACAGCCAGGACATATCAGCATCTTTTCTGTTCTTAGCCGAGAGCTGCAGTTGATTGTGAAATGGAGGTTTCTTCCTCTTATACCCAAATAAGATGGGCTTAATATGGCCTGGATGAATGGACCAATCTAGGCCATTCTAGGTTAATCATAATGGTACCAGGCTGTTGCATGTGGTTCTGCCATTTCAGCTTCAGTAGTGAGACCTTTACAGAAGAGTAACTAACTGTATTTATTAATTTTATTACATTTTTTGCAACATAAAAATGCAGAAACAGTTATGGTAAGTATTCCTTGAAAAGGTACAATTGAGTAGTTATTGGGAAATATATATATATCAGACTTGAATAACTATGATAATCATACACACACATGCACACAAACAAATCTGATGTGTGTGTGGTATATAGATATAAGATATATTCTGCATGGTCTTGCCCAGCAAAATATCTTGTCTTTCATCTGTTGCTATAGCTTTTTCTTTGTCTCAAATCACTGCCTTCATTCACTTCGAAGATGCCCATTCTCAACCACCATGAGGTCAGTCAATGCCCTGCATCTCAGGCTTGCAGCTTCCTGGCAGAACACTGACCATACAATATCATATGGGTATCCTTTTGTGTGTCCATGTGCCTTCTAAAAAACCAACACCACTTTCACAACTGTCTCTGGAATGAATTTATCTTCAAATTTGTAAATAAGCACTGTATGGGTGACCTGCCATTCACAGATAGTCATCATTCATAAACAAATTAATGATGATGCAGAGATTCTGTGACAATATTGCTTAAAAGGTTTTTGTGAGTTTTCTCAAAAGTAGTGGCAGGGATTCTGGATAAGTACCTGCATGTTCCCTCTCTGCAGCTTAAAGGCAGTGACTTGTTCTGCATACATTTAAAAAGCAATGCAAAGGGGCAGAGGCATATAGCTAGATAAAACAGAAATGCTACTTCCTACACCTTGAAGGCAGCCTATGAGCTTGGGTTAACTGTTTTGGCCTAAGCCTATGCCCAGAAGAGCAGAGACACAAAGTCTCATGCAGCTAGAGACAGGCAAACTTGTCTATATTCAGATCTCAGTCCCTGGGGTTGGCAATTTCAGTGAACAGCGCTCCATGTTTATTTGAAAGCAGCACTCAGTAAATATTGAATTGTGCTAGTCTATCATCAACACAGGTGTTGTTTTTTTTCTTTTTTCTGTAAATACCAAAACGCTGTGGTTACTGCTTACTCTTTCATATGACTCACTCCTGAGAAGCTCTTCCCAAGGTGCTTCTTTAGCAAGTTCTGAATCATAGAAAGAAAACATGAGAAGTGCCTGGATGTTGGCAGTGTCTTCAGGGGGCAAGGCGATCTGCTGCAGAGGGGAAAACATCTGTATGATATTAGGCATTTTGGGGAACAGGAGAGACAGCGGGCAAAAGCATGGTTTGCGCTACTCAGAAGATGGGATGAAACTTTTATCATTCCCTTCTTTCATTTAATACCACATGCAACAACTGACATTCAGCAAGGTATGATTTTATAAAATGTGGTCTGCGTTTTGTGAGCCGAAGAGAGAACCCTTCCCAACAAGACAGGAAGATGATTTACTGCTTGGGAGCCTAAATTCCCATACCAGTGCCATTCCCCTGTTTGATAATTTTTGGCTATTTCTACTGAATAGATGAAGCCCAGATTTGTAAAATGTCTGTAATAAATAAAATGGTTCTAAAATACCACCAGCTGCTTCCACATCCTGAATTCAGGGGAGGTCCTTTTGTTTACTCTGCCATCCATATTAACACATAAATAAGTTGCATTGTGTTCAAATGGTATTACTCCCAGGGATATCCAACTACAACCTTAGAAGAACAAAGAGTTCTGTATCTTTGTGGAAACACAATCCGTGGCTCTTTACTTACAGGATCATATGGAAATCTAAGTCCCTTCACTGTTGTCTGGAGATACTCTCATTCTAGTTGTTCTCTCTGCACCATCCTCCTGGGATGTAGGAGCACAGATTTCTGTATTTCATTCTGATCATCCCTCAGTACATTTCTGCAGGAACTTTAAACAATTTTGCATAGAAATAATCACATTTTAAAGGCGGTTTATCTGAGAAATCAACAGAGGGGCATCAGGGCAAGCCAAAGGTATCTTGATTGTTGCTTTGTAGATCAGTTCAGGTGCCCCATTCCTACCCCTTTCTATTCCATGTAGAAAACCCAGCTGCATGGTCAGTTGAATCTGGAAGTGCAACAGCAATGTAGGCCAGACATGAAGGCCTCAGGGCAGGCTGCAGGGCCTGTGGTTCTCCTCCATCTCTGGCTGCCACCTCCCAACAACTGCCTGACTCTGCCTGATGATAGGGCTGTCCTTACAGAGCACAGACAAGAACTATATTCTTATATTCTGTATAAATGCTGCTGCTGAATACAGTATGTTAGAATACTCTATCATCATGTGAAAATATTTATTACCTCTAAGCGTGATTTCGTAAAATCAGTCATGTGATACAGAATCAGCAAGATGCATCTGCCTTAGAATCATGAGTAACTGAAGTAGCCATTGCATCAAACGTAGGTGTACATTCATACATAGCGAACAAGAGAATAACAGATTTTATACTAGTATAAGTGCAATTGCTAACATCACTGGACCCATAGATTATACAGCCTTAAGTTCAGCAACAGACATCTCATTTCTCAGCCTAATGCTGAATACATCAATTAGTATTTCTCTGCTCATGATTACTGAACATTAAGAATAATTTTCATATACATTGTCTTCACCAAGCAATACACAGCCTCTGTGTTCATCTTCAATTACATACAGACAAAGTCAACAAAATCCTATAATGTACTCAAACTGTATCTAATGTACTTACATCCATGAGCAATACTGTGCACAACAGAAAGATTAAAAGTTTGCATTTCATAAGGATGAATCAATAAGAAAGGAGATTTCATAAATTATTAGCAATCTATGGTATAGATTAAAAGGTGGGAGGATATTAATAAATCATGCATTTCAAGAGAATTACTTTCCTTGGTAGAATGTTTGAAAGCAAAGCATGCAAGAATGAAACTTGAATAACTCTCAGCTAAGGGAAAGAAATCACAGTGGATTGGATCCAGACTTACTCATGCTTAGTAGAGTAGACCCAGTGAATCAATGGTACATCAACAATCAAATGAATCATGATTTAACTTAAGTCCCATTGATTTCAATGTGCTGAAGTATAATTAAACTGGTTCTAACCCCAATGACTTCTCCCAAAAGCATTTCAGTATAGACATATATCCATATTTTACTTCATATGCAACACTGAAATTGTTGGCTGGTCCATCCTTGTCTGTAAGACAGTGGCCATTTAATTCACACAAAACAAGCTGCATTGCCATTTCCAAGCTGTAAATGCATTTTTCAGGGATCAAAGATAAAAAGAGTCATTACAGCAGAAATTCTTGGATTAAACAAATCAAACAGAAAGGCAGCAGTACAATCAGGTACTTTGTGATCATGGAGCTTGCTAATGTGTAGAAATGCTTCAAGGTGAGCCTGTTACTAAGATTTTAAAGAAATGGCAGTTATCATCCACCCTTCACACATTACATTTTTTCAGGATGTACAAGTATATTTTTAGGTGTTCATTTAACATAATTGATGTGTGAATGTGACAGATATTTGGAAACACACATACCATATGCTTGTCAGAGAAGGAGAGATCAGAGGTCAGGAGACATTCACAGTTGGCAACAAACCTAAGTTTTCTTCTTGTACTATGTGAAATGGCCCACTAGCTCAGAAACACAGTAGAAATTTGCCTTTACCTGCACGCTACTCTGTGAGCCTACATTTCTGGTGGAAATGTTTATAAACATGATAACAGTGTGGAACATAAATAGCCCAATATTAAAGAGCCTTTCTTGGAAGTAAATCCCTTTCCGTGACTGGAATGTACTTCCTGTTAGGTATGCTTCTGAGTGAAGACCGAGGTGAATGAATTGTTCACGTTTCAGGTTTGAAATGATTCAATCTAAACCAATCTGAGCCAGGTTTAGGCGGGACTACTGGACAATACTGGGCTAGAGGGTTAGTTATTCATCAGCATTAAGCAGAAAGAGAATCAACCCAAGGCTGTAATAAGCCTCACAGTAATGAATCTTTTCTCAGAATTGGCCCCAAGCAGCCCAATGAGTTAAGTATGCCATCTGAAAGAGCAATCTGAACTAAGCAGGTTGAGGAGCATATCCTATGAAAATTACATTTTCAACAGTGTTGCATTTTTCTAATCCATGGCATATTTATTCTGTAAATTAGTAATGGTAATGCATGCAACAAAAATATGCTTTATCACTTTATGTAAACATTAGCTTTCTTCATGCAAAATGCCTACAAAACTGTGGCAATAAATTATTCTAATAGCATCATTTTACATTAGCTCAGTCACAGAAACTGTTATTCTAGATTCCATGATTATGCAGTAGAGAACATTTTAAAAACCCTTGAAAGGTTTCCAGCATACATATTCCAAATCCCTGCTAATTTGATTTGGTAAGGATTTAACTAAAGAAGCTTATTCTTTGCTGCAGTTCCTTGTTCTGTTAATGATGGAAGAGAAGAGGCCAGTTTTGGGAGGTGGTCCCATCAGGATTGGAGCTTGATTCTTGTGAGTAATTTTTATCTGGTGGGAGAGAAAAGAGTTTTTCTGTTTGGTTAGCTAATCACAAGAAGTGGTTATTTTAAGTTACTTTCTTGCTAGTTTACACACTTTTAACATGCAATGTATTTAAAAGGAAGCATTCGATCTTCCTCGTTGTATGAATGTATTTTAAATAGATTAGCCATTATAGACTGGATCATCATTGGAGTGCCCCAAAGAGTTCGCCAACCCCCCCACTGACTATGCACTACTAAGGAAGCTTGCAACACTCTAAAGATGTTGTTTCCTAAAATACCAGGGAAGGATGCTACGGGTACTATACTATTAATGGCTCCCTTGATGGTTGTAAGCCCCTGAACTCAGAGGCCTACAAGCATCCAGTAGGAGTGGCAGAGGTGGTATCTGCCTCCCTACACCTCCCAATCCGCATTTCAACTAGACCCCAATTTTGGCTGCCTAGCTGAGTCAGACTGGAGAGGGAGAAAGGGGTCTGGAACACCATTGGGATGCCTCTAGTCCTGGGATGCCTCCAGTCTTTCCCTTCCCTCTCTCCAAAGGTGCTTTTTGGACCTCAAAGAGGCAGCCAGCACAGTTCTTTCCTCATGTCTCTGAGTGGGAGAAGAGAACTGAGGCTGATGCTCTGTGTCCAACTTTGGATCTGGGAATGTGAAGTATCCTATGGCCTCCTAGAAGCAGTCATACAAGGGATCATGCAATGAAAGTGGAGAGAGCAGATAAAACACAGCCTTTACAAAGAAGCAGATACCTAGCAAACAAAGCCTAGGAGAATAAAAACATATTTACCCACTAGTGAAAGATAGCTAAAGTGGTGGCCATCTGTGCTTTGTAGGACAAGGTGTCCCACAGTGTCGTTGCTGTCAGTGGGGAGGATCTGCCTCTTGTTACCATCTACTATGTCTCCTCCATAGGTGGAGCCTTCAACACTATATACCTAATTACTGGCACTTGTAAAAAAGTTGTTGCCACCGTTTCTTTTCCCCCTTTACATAGTTAAATAACAAAAGCTAATTTGATGTATATATTTACAATCTGCAGAGGTTTCTAAAATTTTGATTTGCCATTTGCTCCAACAATAGAAAAATCTTACACTTAGTTTCGCAAACATGCAAAGAATCAGAAAAATTACACAGCACTGATGCAAGTTACATAAGAATCAGAAAGAGCAAGGACAATGTCCTTCAGCAGAGGTCTGAGGACAAGTTTTCCATTACTGTCATCCTGATTCAATACACCAACTTAACACTTAACACATTTGCCTCAAGTTGCTAGATCTCTTAGCCAAAACCTAGGACATCCTCTTAATTTGAAAAATCTGTACGGAGTTTCTTTCACCTTCCACAACAACTTATAACTCACTATTATTCTGCATCACCATGATAAATCTTATTTTCCTGCTGTACAAAATACAACTTTGATCTGTCATTTGCCAAATGTTTGCAAGAAGGATGGTTGTGAATTTTTCACTCACTATCACCACTGAGTCTCTAAAGATTTGATCTTTCATATCACTTTAGTTGTTGGAATTAGTTGCAACCCATAGCTTGTATGTTCTTTGATATCATTTATGTTCTCTTATTATTCCTTATCCAAATTGCTATGCACCAACATGTAAGTCCAAAAGTCCCCACGGCCTTTTGCACCTTTCTGCCACTACTGAAAAAAAATCTGCAGACTTGTAAGTCAAAGGCTCCTTGATATACCTTTTGCCCACACGTGTGCAAAAACCCAACAGAATCAAGTCATATACTGTGACCCAAGAAACTGAATAAGGTTATGTTCCTATTGCTGGGTCCATGGATCCTCAGAGGAATGCTGTCTCATAGAGATAAGGTAATGCATCCAGTTCCGTGTGGTATCTCGTGGCTGGTGTGGCTGCTTCTCCCCTCTGGGCCATTGTTGTGTCCAATGTGCCTGCTATTCCTCCATCAGGATGATCATGCATTTGTGTGCATCAAGTATTAAAAATGGACACTTGATTATAGTAGCATTGCTGCTAATCACATTGTCCATTGCACTTAACATTAACTTCAATGCTTCATTTCAAAATAACCATGAGGAATTAAAGTCAAAACCGAACATACTAAAAAGGTCAAAAATGATGAAGTAGCATTCTAATTTGTTAATTAATTGATAATAAAACCAAATCAAATATTGAAAGGCCTGTTTAAAACACTATGAAAGACTACTTTATAGCTACCCATTTTGATTTCTTTGATATAAAACTAGAAATCACCTTAAATGAGACAACCTTAGCGTAGATTATGTCTCCAATTTTCTCTAATTCAAGTCTAAATTAGAGAAGACATTTTATGAATGTATGCTATGCTCAAAGCTAATTGAAAGCAATTATCAAAGTGGCATTTTGTCTGTGACTTTAAGATACATTGTAAGATAATAAATGATTCTCATTATGTAATAAAAAGGTCACATCTTGCCTTTGGGCTAGTGACGCGAACAGTTTTTCAAAAGCTATCTGAGACATTTTCTTTAGTGAACTACGACTAATACAAAAACCATCACTTATTAAATATCAGTTGTCATCTGCACAGTATCCACATCACAAATGAGTATTTCTTTCAAAAAGAAACACCGCCTCATTAAAACTGGCAAAAATATATCTCTTAAAGTGCATACCTGACATTTTCAAGCTAAAATGAATATCCTTCACTTGTCATTCACTAATAGTAATGAAACAAAAAAGTACACTAAGAGGAAAGGCTCATTAAAATAGGGAATAGGCTGCTTCTTGTGGTAGAAATTTACTTTACAATTGAGAGAGACAGAAATATAAAAATCTCAACAGGATAAGTGGGTTTTATTGAACTCTTCTGGAATTTCAGCATACCCTGCCATAGGATCACATATGAAGAAGAGACACAGAACTGTATTCATTATCCTATCAAGATCCCTATAATATCTAGGGCTGTAATCTTATATACACTTACACCCTGGAGTGTACCTTATTGAACTAAATGGATCCTACTTCTGAGTTGACTTATATTGGACTGCACTACAATATGGGGCTTTAGAGTACAATTGTTAGTGCCCAATTCATTCTGTAATGTCTACCAATTCTTCTGAACAAGGCACCTTTTGGGGTATTGGGTGTCATGTATTTCTTCACAAGAGAAATCATTCTGGCATGAGAAGGTGGATTCTACTCATTTCATTGGTCAGTATCCAACTCAACACAAGGGCGGACATAAATTATGTTGCTGTGGTGTAAATGACATAATGTCAAGCTAGTGCCATGGTCTTCCTCAGAAACTCACTATACCAGCTATACCACTTTTGGTGTTGTACTAGAAAGCATTTGTGCGAGTGCAATGTAATTTATGTTAACATTTACATTAGCACAGTCCCAACATGAATACAATGGGTCTACTTTTTGTTCAATAGGTCTACTCCAAATATTAGTAAATCTGCAATTTACACAGTCGTTTTTGTTATATTTGCATAATCCTAAATGGAAATTGTATAAATAGCAGGAACTAAACATAAATTAAGACACAATTTCTAGGCTCTTGTCCCAAGTTGTGAGCTATTAAAAGATCAGCCTGGCAATGGTCTACCACCACCAAACCACCAAATTACTCTGAACCTTTAGATTGTATTACAGTTTAAGTAGAAGTGATATAATCTTTAGAATTATTTATTTATCTATTATGTTTATACCCTGCCTTTTTTCCTTTCAAGGAACTCAAAGTAGCATGTATAATTCTCCTCCTCATCTCCTCGCTTTTATCCTCACAACAACAACCTGTCATGAGCCAGAGTTTCTCCTCCATGCATTCAAAAGCCACAGGCCTTTTTCCATGCAAAGTGTTCTTGATTGACCCAAAAGCACAAAACACCCAGAACGAATCTCTGAACCTGCACGGAGTGGTTTGCAGAACCCAATCCAGTAAGCACCTCCAGGAATTCTTTATGAGGGTGCCTGGACCCCATCCCTTTGGGAAGGGCCTTCTGAAAGTGGGCACACCTCCTCTGCACACACTGATCCTCTAACTGGGCCACCCTCAGCTGCTACTTTTGCACCAAGGGGTCAAGAGCTGGGGCTGCCTGGTCTGTGTCCGAGAAACTCCTCTGTTCCAGGTCCTGTCCTGCCAGCTGTACAACTTGGTTACTGACTGCCCACCTGGGGAGCTTGGCCTTGAGATAAGCACCTCTGCTTCTCTCGTCCCAGAGTCTTGGCTTTGCCCACATTGCCAGCCCCGCCCCAGCCACACTTCACATTCTGATTCTGACTCTTCTGCAGCTCAGCCAGCAGTCCTTGAGAACGAGTGCCCAGTGCTGCCATGTGTCTCACTCCCAGCATTGCCCTCAGATGTGAATCCTATCCATGCTGATGCTTTGCTACCATTTGGGAAACAATATTATCAATTCAGACATCACATTAAGCTTCTTTAGCCATGATTTGATATGAAGTATGCTTTGAAACAGAGCTGATTACTAAGGAAATATAGTTGCATAAGAAGCAAAGTCAGTAGTTAACAAAACCGTGTCAGCCCCCAGAGATTCAGAGATGGTACACACACTCCACCACGACTACCACCATTTATTTAATCATGCCAGCTTGTTCTTGGAATAGCAAAGTTTTCTTTGCAGGCTTAAGGAACATGCGATTGATGCTGGTGGGTACTTGTGCTTTGCTCTAGTCCCCAAGGAAGACCAAGTAAAAAGAAGGTAAAAATTTAAAAAAGGTTGGTTTGGGAGACAGGCATGAAAATAACGTAGTTGCAGAAAACTTTCTAAATCTCCTAGATGGTATTTGAGGATTGCTGATATGCAAGGGAATGAGGACCTTAAAAGCAAGAGAAATGTAATTCCTAGACCTTAGATTGAATGACAGGCCATTAAATATAGAACAAGTCCTAGGGGAATGTACAGTGAAGATTAAATCCTATGGAGATTTAAACAGAAAAGAAGTCCTACAACTTCCAGCATGCCCCAGCTAGTATTGCTGGGTGGGGCAGAACTTTTTTCTGTCTCAACAAGCATACGATTTGTGTCCATATGACTTTTGACCTCAGTATCTAAGGGAACAATCCTATTCATGTCTAGTAAGAAAGAAGTTTTTTAACTCTTAAAATCGTCTGAGCAGCATTGCTAGCTGGGGCATTCTGGGAGCTGTTGGCCTTTTTTTCTGTTGTTGCATACATAAGATCATTTTGTACCCTAGGTTTTCTATCATGCAAGCATACAACACTTGGTCTACACTCTACATAATGTTGGCCTTGCTCTGTAATCCAGCCCAGTGCTTTAAAATACAGATCTTGGGATAGTTCACTTAAAACAATTTCTTAGCAATATCATTGCACCAACTGAAATTAAATATAATTAGTTTGGCATTAATTAAGCTCTAATAATATACTCTAGTATCTCTCCTAAATAGTGTGATCCGTTTCCCCTTCATACAGGTAAATTGCAAAACATGGTGGTGTCATCATAATTTTTAAACACACTGAGAAAGTTACAGAGCTGCAAAATTAAAATAAATGATTAATGGCATTTTTTCATGTTTTATACTAATAGGTATTGCTGAGCCTTTAAATTAATAAAGCTGTCAAGTTCATGGTTGTTACAGGATCCAGCACAGAATCAAAATGGAAATTATGTATTCCACAAACACCTAAAGATGACACTTTGGAATATTTTAAATTTTAATTAGTAGGTGCAATTGTTTTGCCCCTCCCCCACCTTTAAGCCACTACAAATTAATTGGCAATTAGTCACAACTAATTCTTTTCTTAACAATCTTAAATGGAAAGGTAGGTGATTACATCTCAGCACAGTTGTCTAAGGTGCAGAAAGCACACATGCAGTAAATTGCATTGTCAATTATAATTTTTTATAAAGAAGTTGTTGTTGAAATTAAGAAAAATTATGCATAGGTAAACACAAATCATGTATGCACAATGTTGTAGGGGACACAAGAATAATCTCCAACCACACAGTGTCAGGACTCAAATGTATGCAAATTAGAGAAGTTCAAGAGGGGCTAAATGTATACTGTAAACTATTAAAGGCAAGTTGAGTGCTTGTTCCACTGTATGCCATTTCTTCCTAAATTTATGCTTAATCCCACCACCCTGAGTGTGCTTCTGTGTGTCTTTGGTTTGTGACTAGATGTGACTGTTCTGCACACAAATCTTCGGCACACAGAGGCCCATGTAGTGCAAGCATACGAGGAAGACACATGTATGCCTTGAAGCACTCTGTAGTTCTGGAGAGAAAGATGTGTTTTGGACTTTGTACAGGAGGATTGAATAGGAGAGTAAAAACACTTTCAGATAAAGACATGAGGCAACTGCCTGGGGAACAGCCACAACTTCATTAACTACAAAAAGTTCTACAAGCAACATGAACAGCCATGTCTGGAGCCATACAGTAATTTGGATCCCCAGGTCCAAAGTCAGAGACACCACTCCAGCCATGAAGCTGGGACCCTCCTTGCAGTGATAGTGGAAAGAACTGTGCCACCTGCCTGTCTGAGGTTAGAAAAGTGACCTTGGGGGGCAGGTAAAAGGGACATTCTGGGAGGCAAGGAAGGGACGAGATTGGGCTGCCACAGGATAAGATGGTGCTCCAGCCTCCTTCCTTCCCATTCCAAAGTACCTCTGCTAGACTGTCATTCCAGAGCAGGGCTATGGGGAGGTGGCGATCATAGACTCATAGAATAGTAGAGTTGGAAGGGGCCAAGCCCCTGCTGGTGCAGGACACCAATTTCCACCACCCCACTCAGATGACTGTCCAGTTTCCCCTTGAATGTCTGTAGTCTGGGAGAATCCATGACCTCTCTAGGCAACCGTGAGAAAACTTTTCCTGATATCTAGCCTGAACCTGTTTCTACTTCTGCTCTACACTGGATGCAAGCAATCTTTGAGCATGGAAGGTTATGAGCATTGAGGACTGAGCCATTAGTGCATCAAGTTATTAGTTATTCAAATATTTTATTAACCAATGCCATAAGGCCTTTGTTTTGTATTTCCACTTGTATTGCATTGTCATTTTCTTTGTATGGTGTTATTAGTTTTTATTGTTTTTTTATCCTGTAATTGTGAGCTGCCCAGAGATGCAGTGGCATGATGCAGTGGCATACAAACATTTTAAATAAATAAATAAAATAATAAGTATGGCCAGTCCACCCCTTTACCCCTGCAATCACTGTTCCCATCAGACTTTGTTAGCATGGCCAATGTTCACAAAGGATGGCAAGTTTGGGAATGTTGCTTAAGGATACTCCAGGAAATCATTGCATCAACTCCTACAGAGCAATCCTGGTTCAAGATGGGGCTTAAAGATGCCATGATCTGTCCAGGAAAACCCCAAAATGGAGGACAAGTGGCCTTTAAATGGCACTAAAGACTTTCTTGACTGTTTTAATGCTTAAACACTAGCATATCTGCTGGTGGTTTTGGAGGTGTGGCAGCTATCCCACATTCTCCTCTGCACCATGGATAAATTTACTTGATTATTTAATCAGAGCTGCTGAAGTCTTTCCAGTGCCTTGCATGGATTTGTATAAGAATCAATAAAAAGGTTTGAAGGGGCAGAACTTTCCACCTTATCTAAGAATTTTTTCAGGAAAGGTAAAACACACACACACACACCATGAAAGAGGATTTCATGCACACAGTTGCACATTGTATCCAAATAATTTTTATACTGAAATCTGTGCAGAAGACAATAGGATTGTAGCCAAGTTTGTTAATTATGAAACTAGTGCTGATTACACTAGAAGATTGAGTGAATAACATGATATTTAGCTTCATGCAATGTAACAGAATGGCATTATAATACTCATATTTTTATCATAGCTTTGACCAACATCGTATCTCATACTGATCAAGATGTACTTACTGTACAAGGTGTTTGCATCCATGGCTCCCCATCAATCTGCATAGGCAGAGACTTGCTAGTCCTAGACCAAAACAGTTATAGGGAAAAGAGTGTCTGAAGAAGATAAAGTGCATGTTTCTAAGCAGACAGCACACTGTCTTCCCACCCAGAGACATTCAAAGTTGCACATATAGCTTCCAGTGACAGATCTGATCACAGACACAAAATAAGACATGACCTGCTACATTTAGAAAAGTACACTATGTACATTTCACTCTTACACTACGTATATCTTTATACCAAGTCCAAAATAAATCCCCAGATTACAAATATTTGGATCCAACTGAGGGCTTACTGATATAACCAATTGTGGCTCAAGTGAGGATGCTTCCAGGAGGAAGGGTTCTGGCACCACCAACCAGAGGGACTTGTGAAGTAATCTCTCCCCCCGCCTACTTTCTTTTTCTTAACAGATTTTCTATGGTAAGGAAAAACGATGGAAAACATGCTGGGGGAACATAGGAGAGGTGCAGGTTGTTGAAATTGGCATCTGGACCTTCCGCCAACTTATGTGAATGGAGCACATTTTTGAAAATATCTGGAAGTGGGTGGATGAGCAACACCTTACAACATGCAAGCACACAGACACAATCCCACCACTACTTCACCACACAACAGCATGGCTTGGCTTCATCATATCAAAGGGGGGCCAAAACAGTTGCATGGGTAGTCCTGGGTATCAGTCAGATTAAGTCAGCCTAGCCTATGGATGATGCCTTTAGCCTATGAGATTGTGCCATGGCTAAACTGAGCAATTGATCTGAATCCCCAACTATGATGAGCAACCTAGGAAGATACTCTGTTAGCAATGATTTAGTAATGGCATACCCAAATTCTTATCAGCCTCCCACAGCTTTAAAATGGTAATCATAGAATAGTGTAGAAAAGAAAGCAACAAGGATGTTTGGATTGCCACTGCTTTGAGGGTGGTAGAGAAAATCGTTGCTCTTCTAATGGTTATTGAATGTGGAATGCTCCTGGTGAGGGTCTGTGCCAGACACGCCCTCTTCCAGCATACGCCATTGTAGCCTACCCATATTGAATACTCCCTCATACACAAGTCAGTCCTCATTCCTTGCTCACTTGTGCTGTTCTCCCCCAGTTAGGACTCACCCCACACCATATATTCTTTTTACTTCTGCTAAGTCCTTAGAACTCTGCCAACGCTTCCCTCTTCTGCAGTTTTGACTGTACAATGATAGACACTTCAACAATGAGTTTGTCATTATTATGAAGGACTGATTCTGTTCATAGGACACTGTTTTTGAGAGGCCTTGCCTCCTCCTAGCCCTTTGAAAGTAAGGGCAGGAGTGGAACTAGGTTCTCAGATTGAACCTGAATATGAAACTATGTCCTGAAAGTTTGATCCTGATAGTTCAGTTTTCAGGTCTGACTCCACTATGCCTTCTCCATCTTTCCTATATTAAGGAAATAATAGAGTTTGAATTTGGAGTACTTGTTGCATGAAGCAAGTTTCATATGCCTATTTTCCAAGTTGAATAGAGCTCTCACATTTAAAAATGGCAAATGGAATGCTAAATAGTCTAGTTGATAAAAGAATGTTTGGGAAATCTTGTTGGATTTAGTCAATGTTCCACCTAATCTAGCATCCCATTTTTACACTGGCTAAGAAGATATATCCCATTAACTTCGTATTTAGAGGCACACTGCCTCTGATATTGGAGGGTCTCCACATTTATCATGATGCCTAGTAGCTAGCTATCCAGTCTGAATTCCTCTTTTAAATGCATCTAGATAGTGACCATCACCACTTTTCATGGTAGTGTGATCCATAAATTGATTAAATGCAGTGTGACGAAATATTTCCTCGGTTTGTGTGCCCTGAATCTCCTCCCGATCAGTTGTATTGGAAGAACCCAGGTCCTACAGGCACATTACCCAGATAGTGAATTCACAACTCCAGTTATGCTGGGAGAAATATGGCTCCTACCTTATGATAACTGATGCACATTGAGCAAGTCGTCTTCCAGCACTTTTCAGTCCAGTGTATATTTGACCCATCTCCATGGCTCCCTCCAGACCAACCACTTCCACCAGCTGATCACTCAAATCTGAAAGCAAAATGTGTAGCTCTTAGGCTTGAATAAGAAGTTGTGGAAGATTCATGGCTACTAGTGATACAGCAGCATCATGTCTCATTCTCCCACTCTTTCCAGCAATATCTAAGAATAAAAATGTGAAATGCAAAACTTTGTATCACTAAGAGTGCTTGAAATAGAGGAGGACATGATAAATTGCACCTGGGTTTTGGAGGCAGCTGCATTTGCTCTCTAATCTCTACTTCTGGCTCCCAAGTCAAGTTTAAATGCTTACATATCCTCAAGTTACTTAATGCATGCAAAACCAGCCCAAGTTGTGAAGGTCAGCTTTTGGTATTTTGATGTAAACCACAATATGCTGGCTTAATAGCTCCCTGTTCTCTCCTCCTCCTGCTTCAGCCTTTAAAATCTCTAACTTACTGGTATCCAAATACCTCACAATGCACAGACAGTGCAGCAGTTTCCAAAGTTTCTTTGACTAATGGGATCAATTACAGGAGTAATATTTTTTTGCTATGAAGAGAGATGAGCTTGTAACAACATCACATTTAATAATTTGGACATTTCAACAATTCTTGCCAAATTTTTATGGCAAGATGTTTCACAGTAAGTGCAGTTTATAAGAATGATCCCTTGAAACAGAAGTGATGGGCTTATCAGGAATATTTTGTCTTGGAGTGTTACAACATGTCGATTCAAAGAGAAAATCTGGAGCAGCATAAATCAAAGTAAAACTGAAGGCTACTTTCACAAAAGCTATTTTCTTTGACCATAAGATACAGAATGTATGTTCAGACTCTTCAAAAGAGGTAAAAAGAGGAAATTAACATTTAAATAGAAGTGCACACTGGAGGTGATGGAAGAGACCAAGGATTGCTTGGATGTAGTGTTCCTGGTTTAAAAGTCATAGTTTATTAAACTGAAAGTCCACACACTTTTTCCTTATGGGCTGGTTCTACAGTGTTCAGTATTGGTCTCTTTAACCTACAGTTTCCCAATATGCCTGAAATAGGAAATCATGGCTTAATGTCAGTTTAGTAAGCAGGCTCTGAAGCCATAATCAAACCATGATTAAAGATCCTAGTTCGTAAACCAACATTAAATAGATTTTTACCCCCTGTTGACATAATGTGAAACTGCGGATTAAAGAGGCCAAGATTGTAGTTCTGAAATGGTACTAAAGAAGAGGAGGTGTGATGAGGAACCCAGGGAGTTGATTCAGTTGATGAAGAATGCAGTTGGATCTGGAAGCTCATGCTTTGCATACAGGCTGCCAGGGCCATCTCAAGCCATTTTTCAGCCTGAGGTGGAACATCAAAGGGTGCCAACTGCAACCCCACCTCCAGTGAAGGTGCTTAGTACCCAAGTCCAACTGTGTATTCTTCACCCGAAGTAGAAAATCCCATAGGCTATGTGGTGCAGTGGCTAAGAGTGCAGGATTTGTACCCAGGTGATCAGGGTTCTAGTCCCCATTCAGCCATGGAGCCAACTGGGTGACCTTGGGCCAGTCACAGACTCTCACCAAACCCACCTCACAGGGTTGTTGTGGAGGTAAGATTGAGAGCTGGAGGAGAATGATGTAAGCATCAAAGACAAAAGGTGGGATATACATCTAATAAATGAATGCATAAACAAACAGACTTTTCTTCCCTTCCCTGGCAGCAAAAATACAACAACAATAAGCTAACAATTCATTGCCTCTTCATGACATTACAGATCTGTCACCTGAAGTGACCGGCTCACTCTGCCTCATGGAATAGCTATACCTGCAGCATGCTGAAAGGCTCCTCTCATCCATCTTCCAATTCATACCATCTTCTAATTTAGGGCTCCCACGTCAGAAGGGGCAAGAAGCCCAGCAGATTGCCCAGCTGAGCCTGTCTAATCAGTACTGACACCAACTTGTTCCAATGCACTTCTGCTTACAAAGCAAGCCATTTGGGTATTTTTTTCTTACCACTGGAGGCATTTGTTGCAAACGGCTGTTGCAACTAGATATGGCTGGAATTTGCATAAAATTCAATTGCAATCCCTGCAATTTGTATGAACACAACTGCAAACTGTGAGTGCCTTTTACACAAATTTGCCTTTCAAAATATGTAAACTGTGGTCCACTATACAAGGGAACGTAACCTTCCCCCAACTTGGCCCATTTTTGGCTCTTGAGTCTGGGAAGTGCATTACAGTTCCTCAGGGACGCCCATGCCTATTGGCACCAACGTAGCAAACTATTGCAAGTAAGTGAAGGCTCTCATGCAAACTCAAGCATCTTTATTCAAAACTAGGCACCACTGAGTACAGCAGGGCTTAATCCCTAGCAAGGAGCTTTAGGAGTGCAGTCCTATAGCCTGATCCTGTATTAAAAATAAGCTTTACCCTGTTCAGTGGGATTTATTCCTGTTAATGTGTACACAGGACCGGAGTGTTAGACACTAATTGTCTTCACCCAGAACTGGCTCTAAGACATATCACATTCAAGAAGGCTTAATTCTGAGTGGACATGTTTTCAAAGGTGCAACAGGCTGCTGTCTACTTTGTTAGCACAGATATAACACATATTCTCACTAATCTGAAAATGATTAACATTATTTGAAGGAATGTAAACTTATTTTATTCCCCTGGTTCTGCACTGAATTTGTTGCCATGAACAGATGGACAAAGAAGAGAAACATTTTATTTCAGTTCAGAATTGTGCCTAGTGCCCATGCTTCATAGATTGGTAATTAATATGAAATTTCCTGGAAAATATTCTCACAGGTATGATAGAAAGAAGACTCAACACACACTTGTTATTTATGCATAATCAGCCATGCTTATTATTTATAAATAACAGGGCATAAGTTATGCAAAGTATAAATTTAGGTTCCCATATTTTAAAGCAAAAGAATTAGTTTAGTTGGAAGCATTTCCCACTACCCCCTGTTAGTGCTTTGGTGGGGGGGGGGGGGAGTTAAGGTTTACCTCAGGGTTGTTGAATGAAAATTGCACAAGCAATGCATTTAGAACTTCTAAACAAGCATTGTTTAGGTTTTAATGTGAATATTCAATCACAAATCTTTAAGATACAGTTCTATGGCCTTCCCTCCTGTACTCTCTGAGTTGGGATTTCTACACCTGTTTCCCAGGTTGCAACTGGGCCTTGCAGGGCAAAAGGAGTGTGCCAGGGGCTGGGAATGGGAGGAATCTGGTGCCCAGGATTTATGCTGAGTCCTACTCCATTGCTGGCACTTAAAAATAAAATAAATTAAAATAGCTGGCACAAGGCACAGGGAACACCAACACCACTATGTGTCATTCTAGCCATAAGATCCACATAAGCCTCCAAGTTCAGAGGTTTGGTGATTAGTACAAATCAAATATGCACTCAGCCTTCTAAGGATCAAGCAGCACATATGGAAACAGAGTTCTGCATATCATTAGCCCCCTTCATTGACTTCCATATGCATAAGAGAACGTCACACTGAAACTCCATAACTGGATTGGATGGCCTAGGAAGTTGGCTGCTCTGGAGTGCTGCACTGCCACTCCCTTCCGAAGGAAAAGACTGCTTCAAGCAAACGTCCAGTACAATTCTGCAAAGCACTGCCCACCCAGGCTTGTTCTGAGGACCCAGAGGCATGAGGTGGGTAGGCTCTCTGAAGAGCTGCACCAGTAGCTTTCTTGCAGTGGCAATACAACAAGGCTGCCTCACTCTGAGGGGTCCTACTAAGAGCAAGCCATGGCAAGAGGTTTTGGGCTGCCCCTGCCTGAGTCAGGTAGGAAGTTGGGCTACAGGGCCCACCATGTCCCCTCAAGCTCAGATTTTATGCTTCTAGGAGAGTGTGTCAACCAACCTCTCCACTCTGCATACTGCTCTGGTATACAGCTCTACAGGTGAAGATTGAGACTGTGCCCCCACCATCATATACTTGATCAGTCTGAAGCTACGTGGTTATACATGACCATCTGAAGTTGCTTTGGTCCATCTACGTCAGTGACATCTCCCCTGATTGGTAGCAGCTCTTCATGATCACAGGCAGAGGCTGGTGACTCATACACTACAGCTTGTCTTTCAAGGTTTATCAGCGCTATCCATGGTGCTGAAGTCCATCCCCTAATAGGTTCACTATCTTCTATAAAGTTCAGAATGAAAGCTGCCATGCCCCACTCACATAGGCATTACCAACCTCTCTGAGCAGGGCTCTTCTAAGCCCTTGTGCTCCTTTGAGTTGCAGAGGCTTGTAACTGAACCCAGGACATACTCCATTAAAGAGTTTGTGCTCTGGCACTGAACAAATGCTTCAGTGCATTATTGAACCCCCTCGACTTTCAGATGGAGCAAATGAAAAATAAACACTGAAAACAACACGAGAAGCAGTGAGCATGAACTAAAGGGAAGCTGATTTAGAATCATAAAGTCATGACATTGAAGAATTTGGAAGTGATCTAATCCAACATCCTCCTCTGTGCAAGATAGTCAAATCTTGAGCACTCAATTGATGGCTGTGCAGAGCCCAAACCCCAAAATAAATCTGTTCCATTGGTTGACATACGTACCCATTTCAGTCAGCAGAACAGGAAGAGCTGTGAATTGCACTGCCCTCTCCCCTGTTCCTACCAGGTGGGCCTGCCACTGCCTCCCTGCCCCTTCCAGCAGGTACTCTTGAGAACCCTGCCAGCCTGTCTCGTGGAATTTAGAGAGGCAGGTACCAGCAGGGTGCTCTGCAGCAATTTCCTGAACGCAATGCCAGCTGCAGCCACCTGCTGGCACCAGCCTGCTCTACCAGCTTGGTTGGCCACTGCCTCACTCGCTCAGGTTCCTCACTCCTGCACACCTGGCCTCTCCTACCTTGTGCCCCAGCCCCGGGAATTCTGATGAGGTTGGCCTAGTGGGTAGGCCAGCTGAGTGAGCAGGTGAACAGCAGGAGACACTGGCCAGGCCTGGCTGGTTCCGTTGTCACACTGCTCTTCCTGCAAAGACATGCCTCCCAATATCTAACTGAAAAGTGCCCTCCTTTAACTCTTCCTTTTCC